TAGAACCATCATGTTCCGGAGATCTACAGCAGAGAAAAAAGCACTTCAGCCCATCAAGTCTGTCCTGGTTAAAAACAATCACCTAACTATTCTAATACCATTTCCCATACTTGGCCCATAGCCTAGAAAGAAAGCATCTGGTTCACTAATATCCTTTCGGGAAGGAAACTGTCATCCTTACCTGGTCTGCCCTCTGGGATGTGTATTAAATGCTAGCTAGCAACACCCTCATCCTGTGAATGAATGCAAAAGGAAAGGCCTTGTGTGCCTTGGCAATGTTAACAGTATTCCTGAAATATTTCCACAATTATCAATTATTATGTCTCATTTTAAATGCTTTGCCTGGGTTATGATCTCAAGAGAGACCACTAACATTTAAAAAGAAATTTGAAGTCCCAGCTATTAACTGAAATAAAAGATGCCAGATGGTTTTATGCTTCAAGCAAACTCTTTTGCTGTGATAACAAGGTGTAGAGCTGGATGAACACAGCAGGCCAAGCAGCGTCAGAGGAGCAGGAAAGCTGACGTTTTCTGAAGAAAGGTCTAGACCCTAAATGTCAGCTTTCCTGCTCCTCTGATGCTGCTTGACCTGCTGTGTTCATCCAGCTCTACACCTTGTTATCTCAGATTCTCCAACATCTGCAGTTCCTACTATCTCTTTTACTGTGTCAGAATTAAACAAAGCAACCTCTGCTAATTTTACACAATTTTCCATAAACCCTTTCTTTTTGAGCCCAAAGATCTAAAGGACTGCTTCCCATTCTGTGTTTTAATTCCCCTCAAGAATTCAATGCTCTGGCAAATTTGTGCTCTCTCCCAGGAGCAAAAGCAAGGCGATGGTTTTCAGGATTCACTTTAATTCCTCTTGGTGACACTGAGTTCTCCAAGGTATGAGATTCCTTGTGATCCTTCTACTAGTGTTCAGCCAGGTAATCCTCAAACTCACTTTAAGCAGCTAAGAAGTGTGACACAGAGGCTCAATCATGAGTTTCACAGTCTTCCTGCTTATGTCTACAGCTCTATCCAATTTGATTGATTGATTTATTGTCGCATGTACTGGAGTACATTGAAAAGTTGTGTTTATGAACAATACAGGCAAATCATAATAAGCAAGGATGTACAGATCAAAGGTTGTAAAAAACTTAGAGGCATTTCCAGTTACTCCAGCTCCAGAGGCAAAGATGCCTGTGACTGTGAGAAAATACACAGATAAAAGCAACGCACCTGTACACCACATCTCCATAGTGATGTTGTACACTTGTTATTCTCAGGTCAGAGGGGTGGCCATGGGTACCTGCATGGGCCCAGTTATACCTATCTCTTTGTGGAGTATGTGGAATGTTTGTTGTTCCAGTCCTATTTTGGCCCCCATCCATAACTCTTTCTCTGGTATATTGATGATTTCATCAGTGCTGCTTCCCTCTCACATCCGGAATTGGAAAGGTTTATCAATTTCACTTTCAAGTTCCACTCTGCTTTCATCTTCACATGGTCCATCTGGTCCATCGCTGACTCCTTCTTTTCCTTCCTCAACACCTCTGTTTCCCTTTCTGAGCGTAGGCTGGCCACCAATATCCGCTACACAACCACCAAGCCTCATAGTCACCTTGACTATGCATCCTCACACCCTACTTCTTGTTCCATCCTTCCAGTTCCTTCATCTCTGTCACATCTGTTCTGATGATGCCAACTTCGACAGGGGAGCCTCTGAAATGTCCACCTTCTTCCTCAACCGAGGGTTCCCCAGCACCGTTGTTGACAGGGCCCTCAGCTGGGTCTGACCCATCTCCTGCACTTCAGCCCTCAGCATCGCCCCCCCACCTTCCCTCCCGCAACAGCGATAGGATCCCCCTTGTCCTCACCTACCATCCCACCAGCATCCACATCCAGAGGATCATTAGCTGCTATTTTCGCCACCTCCAGCAAGATGCCACCACCAGACACATATTCCCCTCCCCTCCCTTATCAGCCTTCCACAGGGACTGTTACCTCTGGGACACCCTGGTCCACTCCTCCTTCACTCCCAGCAACCACCCCCCCCCCCCCCCTCCCGCACCCCACCGCCCCCACATATACACACACACCTACACACAAATCCCATGGCACCTTCCCCTGCAATTGCAGAAGGTGTAACTTCTACCCATTTCCTCCTTCTTCCTCAGTATCCAAGGACATTACTTGCACTTCAGTGAATCTAGTCTACTGTATTCACTGCTTACAACGTGGTCTCCTCTACACTGGGGATGAAGCATAGACTGCTTTGCAGAACAACTACATTCTGTCATAAAAAAGACCCTGAGCTTCCATTAGCCTACCACTTCAAAATGCCACTGTGTTCCCTGGTCGATATCTCTGTCATAGGCTTGCTGCAGTGCTCCAGCAAAGCTCACTGCAAGCTGGAGGAGCAGGACCTCATTTCCCACTTGGGAACTCTACAGCGCCAGGGACCCAGGTTTGATTCCTGCCTCGGGTGACTGTCTCATTCTCCCTGTGTCTCTGTCAGTTTTTGCCGGGTACTCTGATTTCCTCCCACAGTCCAAAGAGGTGCCGGTTAGGTGGATTGGCCATGCTAAATTGCCCATTGTGTCCGGGGATGAGCAGGTTAGGTGGATTGTCTATGGTAAATTGCTCTGTGGCATCCAGGGATGGTAGGGTGGGTGGATTAGCCATGAGAAATTATCCATAGCGACCAGGGATGTGTAGGCTGGGTGGATTAGCCATGAGAAATGCAGGGTTGTGGGGATAGTTTGGGGAATGAGTCTGGGTGGGATGCTGTGTGAAAACTTGCTGGGCCAGATGGCCTCTTTCCACACTCTGTTGGATTCCAGAAAAACTTGTTGACTAGACAGCTAAGTAACAAATGAACTTTAACACTGATTAATATGGGATGAAACACCTTTGTAAAAAAAATGAACATCACCAAAATGCAGAAATTAAGAAAATGGGATAGAACATCAAGATCCAGAACCAGTGTAAATATCCCTTCATGATGAAGCCAAGTAGCAGCAGAGAGGGCGGGAAAAGGAAGAATATCCTATACTCGAGATCCACCACTTCATGGGGGTATCCTACACTGTGTAAACAAAGATCTGTGGGGTGAGAATGAGCCTATCCAGTCACATGAAAACTTTTGGTACAAACTTCCGATAGTGAGGAGCTGTCATGCTTGAGAGACAGACACTGTCATGTAACAAATTATTATAAGCAGCATCACATGTGAGGAAAGCATCTGAGATGCTTACAGTGTATTGGGATTTCATTTCATGATTCAAAGGTTGCAATTTTTTTTGCTCAACCATGCTTGTCAAATTTAATTCAATGCTCATGACCCTATTCAGGATGCATACACAATTGCAGTCTGTCTGAATTGTTGGAGAAAGTGTGGAAAGGATTTAACAAGGATGCAAAGATTTGGGAAAGATTAAACATCCGTGCAGATCTGAAAGGGAAAATTGAAGACTGCAGCTGGTATAGTCAGGTGATGGCATGCACGTTAGATTTAACAAAGTTTGGCTTATTTGGGCATTACTTTAAACTGCTGGAATAATGGTTATTGTAAGGATTATAGACTTTTTATTTGGAAATACAAACCAGTAAATGGGAAGTCAGATTATTGATTTTTGTATATAAATCAAAGGAAAATGAAGCTATGCAGTACAATAGATTGGATACTTTTGAGATCTGCTGTTTTCAAGTCTCCTGACTCATTTCCTTTGAAGTGGAGATGCCAGTGTTGGACTGGGGTAGACAAATTCAGAAGTCACGCGATGCATGGTTATAGTCCAACAGATTTATTTGAAATCACAAGCTTTTGGAGCACAACACGTTCATCAGGTGAAGTCATTGGACCATAACCTGGCATCATGTGACGTCTGTCTTCATTTTTTTTGAAAATTAACTGCTCAGTAACAGAGTTTGGAATGGTTTAAGTATAGTTGATCCCAGACCTGAGGAGCAGGTGGGAGCAAACTTTCAAAAGCCAGTAAGCAAGCCATATCCTTCTCTCTCTCAGTCTTGACTGGAAAATAAATAACATTCAAAGGCTTTGTAAAAAGAAAGAGAATATCTAAGTTGAGCCAAGATCTAGGTCCAACTGATCAGCTACCAACATGAGTATCGTTGCAGTTGACAACAGTGGGATATCATTGCCAATAACCAAACATATTGTGAGAAAGTTATGTCATTTCCTTCTTTGAATTGGACTCCGATTAGCAGACTTTGTGATTTACATTACTTATATGCTTGAAAAGATTGTTTGACTCATCTGTCTGTCCATCCGCTTCATGAATAAATGGGTGTGTTTAGATTTTAAAGGGGGTATAGTTTCAGTTTGCATTAGTAAATAATAATCTGTTTTTTGTCACATTTTAGAAGATAGGTTTGTGTGATAATGGAGCTTGATTTCCAGTCCACTATTCCCAACAAGGTCATGAAAGTACGGAAAAAGTGACTTTGTTTAGAGAGCAAAGGTGAATGGAGTCTGTGAAGACTTAATATCAGTTTGAAGAGGATGGGGACAAGGAGATAGCCACATTGTCCAAACATGATGGAGCTATTGCCATCTTAAAACTTAAATGTTCTGGGCTTAATGCATCAATGAGTGGCAGTCATCTGATGATTTTCAATCTGGCTGGTTTAACAGCAAATGTCTGAAGATGTAAACTGAATAAATTGAATGTTGACTACAAAAGAAAAGAGAAGCTGATAGTTAAGTGGAAAGCAGAAATGCTTAATTTTAATTTTTCAATCAATGTTGACTTGAGCTAGACAATCAAGCATGGTCTAATTGAATGGTCGTGGAAACGTAAGAGAACAAATGGCCTACAGCTGATATTATTTCTTATAAAGATCGTCACATCTCTCCTTTGATATACATCACAGATTTACTCATATTTTCTTGTAACTGTTATACAACATATGCGAAAAAGACTGTATTATTGCTTGTACAGTGTTGCTAGATGTATTAATCATTATTTCCATTTGTACATATGCATCTGCAGGCCAGCAACAATTGTTCTACAAGTCAAGACGATAATCCTCCACCTAAGTAGGAATTCAACTGATGCAAGTTCATCTCTGCAGGTATAATTTGTCACACCTCACGCAGAAAACAAACATCTAGAGAAGTGAGGCCGACATTGAAGGATGGCATGCTCACTTTGCTGACTGCTGAGGGTTGTTCAAGAGGTGACAATTGACATTGGGAATGAAAAATATCTCTTTTTTTTAATGTAGCAGCACTCTGCAGAGCTGGTTTTACATGTAGATGTTTAACTAAAATTTCAGTGCCGTATCATTTGGGGATTTCATTTTTTTTCTTCAACACATGTCTCACAAAGCCAGGAAACCAGCTCTGTCTGTCAAATGAAAGGTCATAAACTGCCTTGATCTTTTGCTGTTATGTGGCCAGTTAAGTAGTGACGTTGGCACTCTGAAATCCTCAAAACCCACATGGGATGTGGAGATTGCTGCCTCTTCTCTGAGGATGTTGATTGTGTCTATGAAATGTACTGTGACTTTCCATAAGTTAGCAAGTTATTGAGGAGGAGTCAACAATACTGTGATTTGAAAGGCAGGCAAAGTTACGAGGAACAAACCTACATCGTACGGTGCAGTAGACCCAGGATCTATAGGCATGTGGGCAGAAGTTTGGTTTAATAGCCGTCAAGAGTCAGAGAATATGTGCACACTTAAGAATTGATTTTGTGAGATATTGGCCCTCGTTACTAAAGTTTCTGACTGGCCATGTATGGTGTAAAAACATCATTTCACAATACCACTTCAAATCAGGAAGAAGCTTCAACCTGTCAGACATCATTCAAAGATATGGGTCAAATGCAGGAAATGGGTATGAGTGCACTTCTCGAAGCAGTTATCTCAGCGCAGGCCCAATGGGCTGAAGAGCCTTTTCTGTGCTTTATGGACCCTTCAGCCCAACGATCCTGCGCTGAGATAACTGCTACTAGAAGTGCACTAATCCCAATGAAGGGCCTTTTCTAAGAATCACCATACAAAGAAACCACATCTCTCCAATGTTTTGTCAAGACTTTGATAAAGAATTCATTGAACAATCGGAAAGCTGTTTTTTAATTATTCAGTTTTGCCAAAGGTAAGACGAAAAAGAAGATATTTAATAAGATCATGAGATTCAAGAGACTGACAGAAAGTGTCAAATGTGATATGTTTAGCTCATATAATCTCACAACTGTTCAGCACTGATTCTTGTCTCTGCTTAAATGACTAAAGGGGTCACATCATAATGAGCTAAAATTCCACACAAAATACCAACCGACAATGATGTTAGGTCTGAATTAACAGTGGCGTTGTTGGGTAGTAGCTGGGTTATTGTTTCCAGGCTCTCTGGAATGTTCCAATCATGGAAAAGTAAAACACTAAAAGAGAAAGGTAACAATATGCTCACTCCTTTCAGAGAATCTCTTAGCTCTCAGTCAGCGATATTTAAGGAAGAAACATGACTCACGAGCTATGTCAGACCACAGGGGCAAGTTTACCTGAACATATCCAGCAGGAAACTGTCAAATTGCTCATTTTACTCCCTGCCTGGTTTTAATTTCCAGTAAAGTTTTGGTTAAAATGAGCTTTCTTTATAAACAGGATGGTTACCGCATTCAGTTGTAATCACTAAAGAAACAATTATTAAAGGGGGAGTTCAAGACAACAGAACCACCAGGAGAACAGTAGCTTCCATGATGTCAGCAGTGGGGGTGCTTATGCATGTGTCGGTGAATGTTGTGCTAGCCGAGTGTGCGCGCAGAGTGGTTTGTGGTTGAATGGGAGTTACCACCTTGTTACGTAACACCTTTAATGAAATAAAACACATCAAAGTGGGGAGTGTTATCAACCAAAGTTCAAAACCAAGCCACTTTTTTAAGTTTGTTCATGCGGTATGGATGTCACTAGCAAATCCAACATTTGTTACCCCTTTAACTGATTTCAGAGAGAGCCAACCACACTGTAGTGGCGTCTGGAATCACATGGAGGCTAGACTGGACAGACTTCCCTCCCTGAAGGACAGTAATGAACTAAATGGGTCCTTACAACTCTCAACAGTAACTTCTTGGTCACCATTGTTGAGGCCAGCTTTATATTTATTCCAGATTTATTAATTGGATTTAAATTCCACCAGCTACTGTGATAGGATTTGAACCTGTACACTCAGAGCACTAGTTGAGATCTCTGGGTACCAGTCGATTGATGTTGCCACCACACCACCATGGTCAAAAGTAATGTCAGACAAGGAAGTTTTTAGGACTCAGCTAATGGAGGCAAAGTGAGGCTGAGAGGGTGGAGAGGTTTAGGGAAGGAATTCTAGTGGGCAGAACTTAATTGTAGGGTCAAGGCACAATTAAAGGCAATTACAGCAACAGTGAAGTGATTAAAGTAGGAATTGTACTAAAGGTCAGAATTAATTTATCATAGAATCCCTACAGTGTAGAACTAAGCCCTTTGGCCCAAAAAGTCCACACTGACCCTCAGAGAATCCCACCCAGACCCATACCCCTAATTTACACGTCCCTGGACACGCTACGGGCAATTTAGCATGGCCAATCCACCTAGCCTGCATATCTTTGGACTGTACCTGGAGGAACACCACGCAGACACGGGGAGAATGGGCAAACTGCACACAGACAGTTTCCCGAGGGTTGAATCAAACCCAGACCCCTGTGAGGCAGCAGTGCTAACCACTGAGCCCATGCGGAGATCTTAGAGGAGGGTAGAGGAGATTCAGAGGGGTAAAACCAGCACATAGATAAAAAAGAATGAGTATTTAATGCAGAATGCTATCTCTTCCTCCGGAATGAAGTCTGATGCTTCATCAAAACAAAGGACTGGGTCCGACTCCCAGCCAGGCACATTCCAAGTGGAAGCAATGGTGAAAGCTCTGATCTGTGGGAGAGGGAAGGGAACTGAAGGTACGTTGGTGCAGGCTGGGTTTTTGGAAATACTTTCAACCTTCCCTGTCCCAAAAAAAAATGGTGGGATGGTCAGTTTTGGCATCCATTCTGGTCGGACCTGCCCTCTGAGGTTGGTCAGGATGTGGTTGGTGCCCAGCTCCACTACATAGTGACTTACAGTGTCCTATATCTACGTGATAGAACACTGATTTGTTCTGACTCTACCGCTCACAGGGCCGCACTGACCACCATCCCGTGGGAGGTCTAGGACTTCCAAGGTCCCTAGACCTCCAATTGCCAAGGCCAATTTGGTAAGGGAGTAAGGGGAGCGGGTATTTGTCCATTATTTTCCCTCTGCTACAACTTATTTCTGCCTGATGAGAGATCTGAAAATTCACTTCTGTCCATTTACTAACAAATCATCCATGATAGATTTAGTTAAGCTCAACCGTGTCCAAATTAAACAGGAAGCGTCCATCAAAAGGACATTAAAGGATCTTCAGAATTACTTAAAAGTGCATTCAAAGAATGCTAATAACCCTGCTTCCATTGACAAGATTACTGCAAGAGATGGAGTCCGTATCTTACATATGGTAATGTAATCAGTCTAACTTAACCACTTTTCTAAAAATGGTGGCAGCTTGTCTTGTTGAAATTCTGAACCAATTGCAACATACATTCAAGCAAATCTGGGCTAGTGATGCACCTTCAACCCAGAGTATATAAAGACCATCTCATTTTAAAATAGTGTGAAGGAGCACCAGCTATTTTAAATATTTGGACATTCAAAATTTTGTGATTGTGTTAAACTGCTAATCCTGAATAAACAGGCCCTGCTGCATTTTGTATCCATATTAACATGGCAACAAAGGAATTTCTCTGCTGTTTGACATTAACACTGGTCTATATCTGTTTTCCCATTGTAAAACTGTGACAATGTTGCTGAGCCCCATCTTTAATCTGTTCTTGTGTAGTGAGTCCATTGCTCCAATTAGTTTTCTCTCTTTTCTTGTCTCCCCTTAGTTCCATTTGCAGCAAATTGTCAGTGCCAATTATTTTCCTTTTTTTTGCTCATATTTGCCGTGTAGATCAGAACGTGTCAATTAAATGCATATGGTGTAGTCAGCCTTTGTACATAGAAAGCATTTTGCTTCACCAATTATGGCCACTAATAGGCTTACATGCCTGGCCACTTTACAGTTTTTATGTAGACATAGTTCTAGTAGTATAGTCACTGTGCCAGACAACATAATTTTGCTTTTCATCACATCAGCAATAAGCAAAGGAAAGTGGCTCAGGTCTTTGAGGGGACACAATCCTAAAACCACTCAAAGAATGACTAGCATGGGAGTTTCTAATGATAAAATGTGACACAGCATTAGAAAGTGGACCCTGGTGCATCTCATTTGACCTTGTGAACATTGTTTCTGAGAACTGTGTGTATTGAGAGAGAATCTCACAGCGAACATTCTGGCGAGTGCCTTTTATAGTGCTCTTTCCATCCTATAGAATAGGATGTGCAGCACAGAGGAAGCTGGTCAACCCATCTACTCTAAACCACTTCCTTTGAAGGGAAATTCGGTCTGTCCTACGAGCACCACTCCCCATAATTTTTCCCTTTTTTTCTCCAAATATTTATCCAGCTTTCTTTTGAACACAGTCATTTTTTGGCATCCACTGCAATATCAGCCTACCAAATCCTAACCACTCTTTGTGTCAATTTTTTTTTCACATGTTGCCTCAGTTTTTCTTGCCAACCGTTATACCTGAAGTGAAGTTGGACTATGTGATTAACAATCCTTCAGCCACTGGAAACAGTTTCTATTTACAAACATACAGAGGGGGCAAGAGTAGGCCATTCAGCCCCTCAGGCCTGCTCTGCCATTCAATACAACTATTGGCCTATCTGAGTGTAACCTCAAATCTGCAATCCCACCTATCCCTGGTAATATTTCAGCCTCCTGCTTAACAAGAAGCTATATACCTCCATCTTAAAAATAATTCCAGGACTCGGCTTCCATCTTTTCAGGAAGAGATCGATAAATACCCATGGCCTTCTGGGAGAAAATAAAATTCCACCCCAGCTTTCAATGGGTGACTGCTGATTGAGACACAGTGAGCCCTAGTTCTAGAACCTCCTATAACAGGGAACACCCTCTCCACAGTCAAGACTCTCAGGATGTTAAATGCTTTAGTCTAAGTTGCCTGTTACTCTTCTAAATTCCAACAGATACAAGTTTGGCAAATGTCCTCTAAATTGCTTCCAATGTGTTAACATCCTTCTGTAAATAAAGTGACCAATACAGTACACTAGACATGGTCAGACTAGTGCCTGGATAACATGAACATAACCTGCCTACTTTTGTATTCAATCCCTGTTATAATAAATGACAACATTCTATTAGATTTTCTCATCATTTGCTGTAAATGAGTTCTGAGGAAGGCCTGTACTAGACTTGAAACATTAACTCTCTCCACAGACCTGCTGGGCTTTAGGCCCTTGCCTTTCTAGCTGCTCCTCCAAATCAATTACTGGCTCTTTCTAGTGTGGTGGCAATGGTGAGAAGCAGCTTGTAGTTCGAGGAGCCCCTCCGCACAGATTCTGACTTCCTCACTTGCGGAGGTGAAATTGCACTGATCGACTGACACTTGAGAGAGTGTTGTGGTTGCTAGAGTCTGAGCCACCCTGGCAATGTGGGCTCACGCGATAAGCACCATTTTCCTTCCCCACTCCCTTAGGCTATCAGTGGCCCAGAAATAGTGGAAGCACGAGGGCCGGCGATTTATCCTCCTGGCTCTGGTTAATGGAATATGAGCAGCATTGAACCTTATAATTATAAAATTAAATAATACTCAAGCACTAAATAGTAACAACTGTAAATATCAAAGGAAAATAATTCTAAAAAGTGAGACTAAATCATAAGATACATATGAAAAGAACAAACAACACTTCAAATCTGTTTTTAACGGCGCACTGAAATAGCAAGTGCATAATTTTTATATGAACATTAGTACATAATTTATAAAGGAGCTCAAACCACCTGGTTTCAGATATGCAACAGGTAGGCTCCTAGTAGGGTTTCTGTCCCTGTCATTTGTTTCATATTTTAATTCTTTAGCGTTCTTGGTGCTTTGAACCGGTGTTGCTCAAAATGGTACTGTTTGTGGCAAAGTCTATTTATGGACAGGATTCTCCACAAATAAATGTTATTAAGTATTTCAACCTGCATTTGCTAAGATTAATCTCAGTGGTAAGGAATCAATACCAAAGGAGATTGAGTGAGAAATGTCTTTGAAGCCTGGATGTAATTTTTAAGCCTAAAGTGCCAGCATTCACAAAGGACCAAAGGCATTTTTATCCTTTGGAGAAAGGCAATTAGTTATGTGCAGCTTGAGAAATACCAGGGGGTTGGTGAGGAGACAGAGCTTCCATGAACTTTGACAGACGGGGTTGGGGAATGAGTGTGAACTCTTGGCTTTATCCTGCACCACACTCTGGTCATTTTGTCTACTGAGGTGACCCCTTCTTCCCTCCATCCTCCTGCCACCTCGTACTAGTTATAAAATAGTTTCAAAATGCTCCCCTATTGTCACACTAGACAATGAAACTGTATATCGTGGGACTAAACTTGATTGATAGATTAGATATCTAGTCTCTGCTGGGTTAGCTGAGCACAGTGTCGGGGGGACACATACCAAACTTGTCTTTTGTATTATTCAGCTGAGGACCAGAAGTAAAATACATCATGGTTCCATTAAACATCAGCATGCAACGACTGGCACTGTAAAGTCTGTGCATACAGATTGAGGACTGGCTCTGCATCTGTAAATGACCAGCTCTCTTTCAGGATCATGTTTCAGGTGTTATTGGTGAAGAGAGCTCCCGATGCCTGTGCTCCCGCATTGGCTAGCACCTTCAAAACAGAGAGGCAGCGCTGATCATTAAGATGATAGATCGTGCTGTGTTCCATTTGAAAAAAACGATGTTCTGTATTGTGTAAGGTAACTGAAAACCGACTTGGTTTATGTGTTCTGTACAATCTTGAGAAGAGAACAGAATGACTAAAGGGACATGAAGATTACCCTTTGAGGCATATTTTTCAGCCAAGGAGAAATAAAAGAGATGGAAGAGCTGTGAGACATTTCTCATCCTCATACATAAGCAATGCAATGTCGTGATGGCCTTACTGACTTACATTGGCTTCTGATCTGGCAACACAACAAATTCAAAATTTTCAGCCTTGTTCTAAAATGCATCCATGTCACTCCTTCCTTTCCCATCTTTGTAGCATCCTCCAGCCCAAAGCTTTAAAATATCCAGATCCTTCTAATTCTAACCTCTTGGTGTATCACTGATTTGAATTGCAATTTGAATTGTAGCTTTATTTCAAAGTAGGCCCTAAAATTCTCTCCAAGTGTCTGTTGGTCTAATTTCTCCCCTCTCTTAAGCCAGTCCTTTGAACTTGCCTCTCTGTCCAAACTTCTATTAAACTGCCTTAGAATCTCCTCATATAGCTCAGCGTCAAATTTTGTCTGATACTGCTTTGTTTGAAGCAACCTGCGATGCTTCATGAGGTTTAAAGGCATCATCTGAGTACAAGTTCTCTTTTTGTTGTAATCTTGGCTTCATTTCAGAGTGCAAAGCAAAAGAAAATGTTCTGACACGTCTTTTGTGAAGGTGGTGCCCTTTCAAAAAGAACAACATCTAAATTCTCTACTATCTTTATTTTACAGGGGAATACGTACAAATCTTCAAGGTTGAGAAGCAGATCACAAAAACCAGAACAAAATGAAAAAAAAATTGGAAACTGTGGTTACTAGTCATGAAAATGCAAAATTGTCTGTTGTGGAAGTGCAACATATAAGACAGTAAAACAGTTTTGCATTTAAAATGATTCCCTTGGCAATCACTTCAGCAATTTTTGTTCGACGACAGTACAATTTAATCTTTTTTAGATAAACAGAATAAAACTAAGGTGATTAGAAGTGCATAGGAGGCTAATTAGAGCTTGTTTTTCATTATAATTAATGGCAATAGTGGAAGAAAGCTGCAATGAACCATTTTTCTTAAGAGACTGGCTCGCACTAATATCATCGACTTGACAATGAAGTACGTAGTGTGTGTTGTATGCTGATGCTGTTGTGATTTTTGTGATCTCTAGTTCACTGGGAATAGTGGAAAAGCTGATTAATCACTGAAGTCAATAAGCAGGAATCTTGCTATAGTTTGATAACAAGTTTAAAATTAGGAGCAGAAGTTCAACCATGAAACATTAAGTCATTAGTAAGAGAGTACATGATCATTCAAGGAGCTGATTGGAATCATTAAAAAAACGCCTCCTCCTAATTAACTGTTCACCAAAAAGATACTTCTGCTACCAAAGTGATCTTTCCCAAGCAGATTTTTTACTTGAAGAAGAGCAATAATATATCCAGAGGTTTTTTTTTGAAATAAAGGAACAGTCACATTTTGCTTCATTTCAATGAAAAGTTATTTCCTTTATGTTATGAGTGTATGTGATTCTTTATATGACCAGCAGGTTTCCCTTGCAGCCATGTCTCAGTTGGTCATACTGTTGCTGTGAGTCAAAGCAGGAATGGGTACAAGTCCCACTCCAGGATTTGCGCACAAACATCAAGGTTACCACTCCAATTCATGATAGGGGAATGTGCTCACTCTACTGGGGTGCTGTCTTTCAGTTTTCATGTTAAATCAGGTCCTGCCTGTCCTTGCTGGTGGATTTAAGAACTCAAGGCATTATCTCCGAGAAGGCCATAGGAATTGCCACTGCTGTCCAAGCAAAATGACATCCCACAATGAACGTCAGGCATCAGGACATAATCACATTGCTGTTTGTTGGAGATTGCTGTGTGAAAATTGGTTGTCGTGTTTCTGACAGTACAACAGTGAATACACTTCAGTTACTTTAACTGGAAGGTGCATTGGGTGTCCTGTAGTTGTGAAAGGCACAATGTATCAGTAAGAGTTTCTTTTCTTCCTGTCTGAAGCTGTTACACCAATTGCCATGCTCTAAATGCAGTAACTAAATTTCCCCTGTTCTACAATATAGTATCTTCTATTGCTATATATTCAATGTAAAGTATTTGAGCATCTGCACACAATAGATCTCCTCAGGAAGTGCTCACTGATTTAAAAGGTAAGTAAAGTACAAGATAACCCCTCACACTGACACAAAGCTCAACATGTTCTTAACAAGAGTCATATCAGACACAAAAGTTGAGCTCTGTTTCTCTCGCCAGAAGCTACAAGACCTGCTGAGCTTTACCCAGCAATTTCTGGTTTTATTTAAGATTTGCCAATAAATAGAAGTCAGGCAAAAAGAATAGCTGAGATAACAAGGTGTCGAGCTGGATGAACACAGCAGGCCAAGCAGCATCAGAGGAGCAGGAAAGCTGACGTT